AGAAGATTTTGCCTGTCGTCTATTTTGGAGGAGATTCGTGTTTCAGGTGAGACCTGGGAAATCAGGCTTTTTGATCTCCCCTTGTATAATATCTCAAAGAATGAAAGGGGCTTTTGTCAAATTAAAATTCCTCTTTTCTCTGCAGGCATTAGTGAAGAACCTCAGCCTCCAAATGGTAACTTTTTGAGAGTGGGGTTAATGTACAAATTGTGAAACTGTTTTGATATCTTAAATGACAGTTGCTAAATAAATACCATGTACACTTGTGTTTAGAAAACAACAGTATGAAGTGCGTGAAGGAGGGAATTAAAAATAATCCTGGCATTAGAGTTAAGCATGTTGAACTGATACTTAGGTATTTGTCAAGTCCTGCAAAAGGCTGTAGTTTTCGTATGAATTACATGGTTTCAGTGTCAGTGAAGAAGCAGTATCAGCAATAAACAGAAGATGATGTTCAGAGATGCTGGAATGGTGTGTTACTCTCTTGTTGATCTAAAGCTTGAGTTGGTACTTTGGATCAGGTAGCGTCTGATGGAGCACGAGTCGTCCTATGCAAGTCTTTTTTCTGTCAGCCAGCTAAAAATAGAAAACATCCTGTCTTTAAGAAATCTGATTCTCTTTTACTCTTCCATGTAATGTGCTTGGTGCTTAAAGTGAGCACAGAAAATAGGTGGAAGAATGCTCAGAAAACACCTACTTTAGAGACAAGCAAAGGTGACTAATGTCAGTCTTGGTCACTAACTTCCCATTGTGACTATTATTATCCCGAATGGGTGAGCTGCTTGAATGGTCCCATGAAGCCTCTCGTGCCTTTAAGTGCTTACAAATGCTGCCAGTCAGTGACAGAAAGCAGACTGTAAGGGAAGAAAATTGCTTTAGTGACACTTACAGGTGCTCTTGGAAAGTGAAATCAGATGGAAATTGAGCTTGGGCTGCCCGTCAACAGGCAAAGCAGGAGAGTGGGCATTTTATACTCCCTCATCTGAAAATCTGTCCTGAGGACTGTTGCTGTCATGGACTTGCTTCTAGATGAAACTGCTGCTAGGGTGGTTTTTCCTTCTGAGCACCGTACATCATGACAATCATGAGTTTTTTAATACATAATGAACAGTGGAAGAGTAAAACAATGCTATGGTAAAGTCAAACCAGCCATAACCTTCTTCCCAAATGTTTTGAAAGCTGTCAGTAAAAAGTGAAAGAGAGAATAGGTCTGATTTTTAAAACCAGAAGTTAAAGACTGCTACCTGCTGGCTGGTTTATTTCTGTACTTGACATCCGTTTGGTACTTCTGACTCACAGGATAATCTAGATTATAAATTAGTAGGGAAATGCTGGGGCTGCTTTCTCCCTTAGTCACGATTCGGGTGTGTCCTCTACCGGGACTGGGGCATCCCACCTTCACCCCAGAGCACTCCTCCAGGCAGTGATGTAGCCTGGAGTGCTCCTTGGAAATCTGCTTCAGGTAATGGCATAGCCTGCTGCAATCATACTAGCTGGGTGGGTTAATGCTTGGACTGAATTATGGATTACTTTCTGCAGTCCCACTGACCCCGAGGTTTTCTGCAAGTGGCCTTTGTTGATAGGTTTGTGTGGTGAAGCAGTGACCTTCTGGTCCTGTGAATTAATGTGGTCCTGCATAAGCAGTCCAAGATGTGAGGAGAGCAGGGGGTGCTCTGCATGCTCAAGCTGCCAGTTGTCATTTCAGTGAGTAACTTCTTGTCAATGGGTCTGTTATTTTACCGAGAGAAAATACTATGGAATATAAGTGGTATGGAGTAATGAAGTGTCCAAGTCCCCATTGTACTTATAGGTTGATGGTTGTACTAGATGATCATAGAATCATAGAATTGCCCAGGCCAGAAGGGACCTCCAAAGGCCATCTAGTCCGACCCCCCCGCAGTCAGCAGGGACACCCCCAACTAGACCAGGTTGCCC